AACTAACTATAACTAGCAGTAAGAACTCAGTTTTAAAGTGAACTGAGCTCGAGGATATCTCAAAAGTTAAAGGCCTCAGAAAGAAGGGAAAATGTTAAAAAGAAAAATAAGCTATTTGCAGTAAAAAAAGTACCCTTCTTATGAATAAAAAAAAAAGAATGTTTTAAAATTCAAAGGAAAAAGATCTTAAATCCATTGACCTCAGCAATGGACACATGTAGGTATTACCTCGAGATAGAAGGGTAAAAATAAGCATATTAGGCACAAATTTCGACAAGAGCTGTCTAATTTGTGCAGTTACTTTAAAAAAGATAATCCCAAATTGTTATTCTGATATTATAAAGAAAACAACTGGCATCACCTAATTATTAGCATCGAAATTAAGGACAAATGCAAATTTGCTTCATTGGCAGGTTGAGACAAGAAGACTTGCAACTTATCCGTAACAAGTCATGTAATCTGGGCATTAGCAAGCCTGATTCCACTACACAAATGAAGCCATAGAAATGTCGACAATCAAAGTTGCACAAATAAGAACTTTGGGACGGTAAACACGGTTGAAGTTACGAAATATTTGTGATATAAGTGGCCGAAAGTCTGACTGTGGGTCCATCCCAGTTTATACTATGGTTAGGGGCTATGGTAAGAATTGAGCGAGCCCAAAGTCAATAATTTTGTCTATATGATAGGACAGTTTTGGGATACAAACAATAGACAATTTGATTGTGGATCCATGTAAAAATAGTAGCTCATATTCGCATAGTTTTGACTTTTAAAATCAGAATATGTGAAATATGTATGGTCATGATGATGCTACCAGGATTTTGCTGAGATTAGCAGTAATGGAATGAAATAGGACAATATCATTTGAGGTAAAATGAGGGCCCTAACATAATGAATACATCATTTAGATAAAAAAGTAATAAAATATTATGTTTCCACCTGAACCGTCCTAAGTATTGCGCTTGCAAATAAGTCAGATAGATGAGGTCGAAAATCGCAGCCGATCCTTGCAAATGAGGCTGCAAAATAGGCAGCTTGAGTCTGCAAGATTTGTACGCGACTAAATGCCGAGACAATATCAGACTGAGGCCCTTCGCTCCCAGCCATGCCAACATCATTGATCAAGGTAGCAGCAGAGGAAGCAGACAAGTTATCATACGAAGCAGACAAAAACCGATCAGCCGAATGTTCAGTAATGGAAGGTATTCGTAGGATGGCATCAATATCAGCCCCAAGGCCAGCGAGAAAGACACCGATTTGC